AAGGGTAGACAGAAACTCACTGTACTACCTTTGCAACTTTTCTGTAAATCTAAAATTATTTCAAAATTTAAAAGGGTTCTTTTAAAAAGGTAGTAGTATATAGATCTATCTATGTTAGCATGAAATGACCTATAAACATAGATAAAAGGAGAACTGCAAATGAAAACACTTCACCCTTTTACTCTTATTGAATTGGCAAAATTTTAAATTTTGACATCAACTGTTCAAGTGAAAAAAAAAACACATATACTGTGGGAATATAAATTGACAAAATCATTTCAGAGCGTAATTCGTCAAGTTCTAGGGGAAAATATGTACATTTGCACAACTCAGAAATTCTGTTCCTAGGTCTGTTCTCTAAAGAAATGTCTATTCATGTGCACAAGAATATTTATGGAAGCAGTTTGTAACAGAAGCACAAAACAAGGGGTAATAATCCAAATGTCAATCAACAGAATGAAGAATAAGTATGATATAAAGGAAGGCTAAGGGCCAGTCGAGTGGCTCAGTTGGTTAAGAGCTCGCTCAAGAGTTTGAGCTCTGAGCAACAACAGTTCGAGGCCAGCCCGAGCTGAGCAGCCGCTAAGCTGCCAACAGGTAGCAGGATGGCTCAGCTAAATAAATAAATAAATAAATAAATAAATAAATAAATAAAGGAAGGCTACATTGTAGTAAAAATGGATTAGAGCTATACATTATCAATGGATGAAATCTCGCTAGGAAAAAATGTATATATAGTATATACTAACCCACGAATATATACAATATTTGTAAAATGTTTAAAGTATCCAAAATACTACACATACCGCTGAAGGTTACACTTTTATGTATGAAAGTATCAAGACCTGTGCACAGGGATGACCAGCACCAAGTCCAGGAAGGTGGTTATCTATGGAGGGAGGTGGGGTAAGGAGGGGTGGGGGGCGGTGGCTAAACAGACTTACCCCCAGGTATCAAGTTAGTAACAACAGGCCTGGAATCTGAGAATTCAGGTTATCAGGAACCAGCCCTGATCTGCTGGGCTGCCTTAGTAAAAACAGAGTTTGGCTGCCTAGACTCCCCCACCTCCCTCCTGCTGACTACCCACCCTGCTTTGTTTTCCTGACCCAGTAATTATGTCCAGCACACATATTTATAAGTCAATTTAATTTTGTTTTATTAAACTTATAACATCCTTTGAAAGACATGAAGGGATATCACAAAATCAAGGGCAGAAAAGGCTTGCCGTGCTGGTGGGACAAGGTCCTTGACAAACACAATATTGTTTTTATTCATGGTATAGCAGCAAGCCTTATGGTACTCACTACCTAAACCCTGTCATACAGTAATTTATTAAAGCCCCATTGTAACCCAATTAGATAGGAACAATTCTTAATCCCACTTCACAGATGGGGAAGCAGTTTAAGTAACTTGCCCAAGGTCATACAGCCACTGTCAGCAATGTGATAAAATTAAAATATTCCACAGTACCAACGCAGTCCCATCATAAAGAATTACAAATTCCATAAGAAAACATAGAATTTGGATAGATCAAATTATTTTCTGAAACTTCATGGAAAATCAACGCAGTTAGTTTTTCTGCAACAGCCAAATTCTTCATCCCAATCCCTGTATTTATCATTGTTTTAAAATAGTCTTTTTTAAAAAGGCAATGCAATTCAAATGCAATGCAAAATAACCTTCTTTTCTGTTGATTTAAAGAAAATCCAAAACTCCCTTTGTGGTGGCAGAACCAGAGCTCAAGGCTGAGAGCCTGGCATCCAGTAATCTAGAATGACCATGTTACAAGACTGCCTCCAAAAGCCGTGAGTGGCTTGGTCTTGGCCTTGAGAGCTTCCCATGCCTTCTTAGGTGGTTTCCACAGCCAACACCCTGTCCGCCTTTCCTCTTCCCCATTGTCAAGTCCCAACCTGGCTATTTCCACAGTTCCACATGCCAAGAAAATGGAGGCGTAAGTTCAAGTTCTCCTTCCACTAAGCTAGAAAACTCCGGACCATTCAATGCAATACCTTTCAACTCTCATAGGAGGTACTAGATACAACTTGTCAAAGGCAATTAAAGCACTTACCAAATCCTTGATTGGTTAACACAAATAAACCCTTCATGAATTACATTATTTTCAGAGTAAAACTGACCACGATTGAAAACTGATCAACAGGGGGTTTATCCAAAATTCCTCGCAGGTGAGAACTGGAACTCTGTTGATATTCAGCAGACTATGACATAAATTCGTGTCTTGCATCATAAACAGCAGTAGCTATCAAATGAATATGCTATATTTGTACAGAATACATTCTAGGATCCCTAGAGAGCCTACCTGCCTCCATATTGGGCAAATGCCATTCAACTGGTTAGCCATTACACAAGTGACAGAGGCAGAGGCAACTTGGCTTCAGTGAGCACACACCACATCCCTGGCACCATGCCACATGCTTTACACATACCACCTCATTAATACTGTATTAACCTTTTCCACTGGCGGAACCACCCAATAATATGTCCTTACTGTACGATTGCTTTATAAAAAGTTCCAAAACAGCAGTTATGTTTTTACATCTACAGAGCTAAAAGCTAACAAAGTGGTTTCCTTTGGGACAGGAAGATAGGGCAGTGCGTGGAGAGGCATAGAGGGTTCTGGGTGCTGCTAATCCTTGATCTTTGGGGCTGCTTATCAGGTGGATACGTTCCCTCTGTGGTAATTCATCAAGTTGTACACTTAAAATGTGCATGTTTCCTGTATATAAATTACAACCCAATAAGTTTGCAAAAGGTAAGAGGTACATGTTGATGGCAAGATATGGAAAGAGCACGCACTGTCAGGAGTCCTGGGTTCTGACCCTGACTTCCGCAGCAAATGGCCTATGATCTGGGAACGTCACTTCTGGGGTGGGGGGGTCTCAGTGTCTTCATTACTTTTCAAGAGGTGAGATTAGACACTCTCCAATTCTCTCAGTATACCATCACTTCCCTTTCTTTTTCAGGTGGGGAGAAGGGAGGAAGGACTGTGAGGGTAGAAAACCAACTCAAAAGCAAGTGTCTCTACCACGAGGTCATCATTAAAACACAACCCATAAAGCTTCTCCAGATTCAAGATGACACCCTGTACTACAGTAACACTATGCTGGAACAGCAAGTTCTAAGTGTCCTTAAGGGGAGCAGATGATGGCTGCAGTCACTATGCACCTTCGTTAACAAACTCAGTATCAATGAAATTTTAGGACAAGTATTTCCAGGAAGTTACAATGGGGCCAGAGCTGTCAAGGCAAGGGGCATTCAGACACTGTTATTAGCATGACCTTGACATAATCCAAAAGGCCTGGCAGCAAGGTTAGATGAAGCCTGTTATTACACACTCTCATTTACCCAAGTGTCCAGGGAAGAAGGTCTCCTGGCTAAGTTAATATTCTGGTTAACCATCTTCCCATATATACCAGAGGACTTTGCATTTCCAAAGAAACAAGTCCCTTTTGTGTAATTTGAGATTCAGAAATCTTAAAGGTCTCGAGAAGAGTGACTCACTCACTGCCTGAGAACAATTGTTTGACACTGAAAAAATTGTTCTCAATCAGTACAGAAAATTTAGACACGAGCATTAGTTTATCACACAGACCATGGAATGGCAAGCAGTTATCAGCCCCAGCACAATTAATTTTCTTCAGTGACTATAAAACCAAAACTCTTTCTTTATAAGCAGATCACCTTTCATAGTCTACAAGTAAAACAAGTTTAAGAGCTTGGTTAAGGTTAAGACACATTTCTTGGGAGATGCTGAAAACATAAGGATTCAAATCTTAAATCTATTTAATCTATAAATATCTTAATTCTTTGGTTTTCCATCAACTCTGTCATCCATTTTGTTACTATTAATTAAAATTTGGATGGCTGCATGATAGTTAGAATGGAAGTTAGCCCCTAAATTACACACAGTTAAACAGAAATCAAGATTGGCCCTAAAGATCGTATTTATTTCCGTCAGTGGGCTATTATCTGAAAATATCCAAACCTGGGATCCTCTCTGCATATAAATTAAAATCTGGCTCCACAGCCATCAAACTACAAAATTTTGATAAGTACTCAACTTCAAACCTCTTTCCCTGTACCATATTGATTGAAATTAAATTAGGTTAAGATGTGAAAGCAAGAATTAGAAGTGGAAAAAAAAGGTCACAGTGACATGGGGGAGGGCACAAGGGCCCCTTCTAATGCCAGGAAGACAGTGCAGCTGGTCCCGGCACCGCCTTCACAACCTGCAGTGATTTTAACCGGTATTATTTCAGGGCAATCAAGAGGTGTAAGACTACACCTGTGCACAATTTTTCACATCCTTTCATTTTCCCCAAATGTAGGCCACTGCTAAAAACGGCCAATGGCTGTGCAAGACATTGTAAAGCAGGTGAAATGAGGGCCTCACTGCAAAATCATGGGACCACAAAAACCCCACATCATCTTAGAGACGTAGGATCAAGAGTAAATATATATGTGCGAAGATAAACATCAACACAGATGGTATAGTGTACTTTGTGCTTCCTATAACTTCAATACTGAGGCAACTGAGGCCAAGAGCCGAAATGTGTCCAGTTGGATAGGGCTCCTATCCCTGTCAGTCACGTGCACTCAGCTCCAGCACAACATAGCTGTTGGAGGTTTCACCCTACTGGCCCACCCCCATAGCTGGAGGGGCAGCCTGCAGGGAAGGCCCTGAGCAGCCCCAGCCGTTCCCGCACCAACTCGAGCCTGGAGAGAGATGCCGCCCACTCGCCCCGACACCAGGCCCTAAGCTGCCTGCGGGGGTACTTCTTCACCGCCGGTCTCCTAGCAAATTCCCGAGGCCCCTCCGCCGCGCAGCAGGTATCGCGGGGCGCACGCGCCTGCGCAGTGCGCGATCCTCACCAACCCCAAATGGGAGCCGAGGGACGAGGCCCGGGACAGCCAGCTCAGGGTCCAGTAGGCCGCGTTCTGCGGGGAACCCTTTCCACAGGCTAGGGGGTCCCAGGGCTTACCCGTGCCCAGGAGGCTGGCCAGGAAGAAGAGAGCGTACATGGCGCCGCTTGACTCCGCAGTCTGCAATGCAGAGCGTCAGCTGATCCTCCGCGAATATAAACCTGCCCCGCCCCGAAGCTGCCCACCGCGCAAGCGCAAGCTCCGCCCCTGGCCGAGTCAGCCCCAGCTCTCCCAGCCGCCTGACTCAGGCGCGGCACAGGGGGCCTGAGCGAAGCGAAGGAGGGGCGGAGAGAGGAAAGCAGGAGAGGATTGGGAGGGGGGGGGTACCAGAGTGGGACGAATGTGTAGTGGAAGGGAAGGGAGAGGTAGTCAAGATGAAAACTAATAATTGAATGTCAGCTTTAGGGACTTTATATATATTATAAATATATATTATATATTATAAATATATATAATATATATAAGTATACATAATATGTATAACATCATTTAAGCTTCACAGTTTTTCTATGCGTTACTATTTTCTATTATTAGTACCATTTTTCAGATGAGAATCCATACTCAAAAAGGTTAACAACAGTCAGAATTCAAACTCACCTCCCAACCCACACTGTATCCTAAACGTTCGTAGTATTTACCTAGCTGGGTGGGGCCAGCATGTAGCTTCATTCTGGGACCTGATTTTTTTTCTCTTAATATTTCATATTTATAACCACTTCTCCCCCATGACTCCACAGGCAGGCTTGTCAGTTTTAAATAGAACTCCTCCCAAGGTCCTACCATGGTTTGGCTGTGGACTTGGAGGGACAGGAGGAAAGGGATTGAGGAGTAAGATGGAAAATAGAGAGCGCCTCACCCATTGGAAAAGGGAACAAGAAGTGAAGCCTGAATTTGAGAACCTACTAAAAATAGGCCAGGGGCCTTGTTGGAGAAGGAAGGGGCTGCACAGCCCTCAATCTTCATCTTATTCCAGAATAAGAAAGACCCAGGTGGCCTGCACAAAACCACTGGCCTTCTACCTGTGGCTGATCCTGTCTGGTTCTGAGCAGTGAAACGACAACCCCCCCCTCACATCCCTCAACTACCTACCAGCCTGAGGAAAGGAAAGGAGGGAAATCTCATCTATTAAGGGTCATTTAGTCACCTTCCCCAAGGGGGAAACAGGCCTGGAGAGGAAAAGACATCCCAAGTGACCTGCGTGAGGCAAACCCAGGGTTCCATCCAGCTCCCACAACCTGTAAGCTCTCTTAGGAACAACTCACAGACAGAGATCTCAGAGCCTTTGGCTCACCTCTTCCTCCACCACCCCCACACTGTGGATCTTACTTCCCACTGGGGATCTGGATGGGGAAGTGTGCACCACAGTAGGCGATGTGAAAGGAGCAAATTAAGTTGGGACAACATTTAGTCGAGACTGGATGCCTCACCCGTTGGTCTGAATGGTCAGAGAAACTGCACGGCTGCTCCATCTGCAGGCTTCCTAAATCAAGGCACAAGCATGGGCAGAACACCCCAACAGCCAGATAAACGCAAGGGAGATGGGGCTTTAGGACACAGCCCCGTTCCTCAGCTCCTTGCTGGTGGAGCAGGCAAAGCATCCCCATGTTCCATGCAGAGGTTACAAGACTCCAAGCCAAAAGGAGACTTAGAGACCTTCTGATCAGATGCTCTCACTTTGGTGGAGTTACTGAGCCCTCAGAGCTAGTAAATTATAGAACCTGAACCAACCACGACTCTTTTCGTACCCCTCCCCCATAACTAGAGCGTTATGTCAGTGTTTTTGAGGTGAATTTTTGCTGCCTTTCGTTTACACACCTGAAACACAATGGTAGTATGTTCCTTCATCCACCTTCCCTGTAAGGACAGAATTTTAATAAAGAATATAAAAACAATAAGTGGATTATTATAATTTTTTACCAAGTTGGTAGATGCTTAAATCCTCTTAAAATACCTTCCTAACCATCTGTGCACAGGCAACAAGAGCCATGAAGCTATTCGGGCCCTTTGATCTAATCATACCATTCTTTGCATATACCCCCTGGCCCCACAGGGAAATAATCCAGAGCCAAGAACTTTTTATCCAAAGTGTTCACAGAAGGCCCCTTACAACAACGGAACCTGGAAAGATCCGCAAATGCTGAACCATGATGGGCTAACTAGGGAAACTGGCCTGGACAAAACAATGGGACTTGAAGCAGTTTTAGAGCATGAAGTGGAAGCACAAGTGCTGGTGTGCAACAGGCCTGCAAGGGAAGCAATATGGGCAGAGCAAGGCCCAAAGCCCCATCTTTTAGTTCCAGCCCTGCCACTGACTTCCCAGAGGGGACTGCAGAGCTGGTGAGCGAGCAACAGGATCCAGGCAGGCACTGGGGCAGCCATGGCCCTCATGCCCTTCCTCTGAGAAGGGGCTGGATTTTCAATGAGGAGAGGAACAGAGAATCGGAGGTGGAACAGAGCCGGCTGACTTTGAGTCAACGGTCTTTGCTTTATTTCACTCATCACAATGTCCACATGTTACTTTGTACTTTCTAAAGAAAAAAGTTGTAGGAAAACTTACAAAAGAAAAGAAAATCCCACTTTATTTCCTCTGTCCTGAGAGCTCAAGTTTTCAGGGAACCAAAAAGAT